AAACTATGGGAGATGGGGACAGAGAATTAAAGTGGCTTGTGCCCTATAGTAAAGTCCCAGACACACTTTAAAAGCAAACTTGGGCTTTAAAAAAGGAGAAAACACACCTAAAACAACCATGTTGCTCTGGCTACGAGTGGGGCAGATGAGCTAAACTGGCAGAAAGTGCCAGCAAGAATGACCCAGCTGAAGTCCACCCCCTATCTTGTACCTGTGGGGATAAGATGAAATGAGCTCAAACATCTATTAGTCAGTTACCCAAAGTTCTCGTGAAACACACACACACACACACACACACACACACACACACACACACACACAAGCAGCCTTTGAACATCTAGATTCTTCCGGAGAAAACAGAGCCGATGACTGTGGGCACAGACAGACAATGCCCATCATCCTCTCCTAGGAACCCCATATCCCCAGGGACAGACTCCTTGCTGCCAGTCTGTCACTTGTCAACAGAGACCAGCCTCTTTGCCCTGCACAGTCTTCTCTGAAATCTTCCCAGGTGAGTGAGTGAGTGAGCGAGTGTACCAGTGCTGCGGAGGCAGAGCTCATCGGGGACCTGCCATTAAGAAAAATGCCTATGGTGGACAAGTGACTCAGTGGTTAAGAACCCTGGCTGTTCTTGCAAAAGACTTGGGTTCTGTTCCTAGCACACATGTAATGGAAAACATCTGTAACTCAGGTTCCAGGAGATCTAATGCCCTCTTTGGGCCTCCCCAGGCACTGCGTGTATCTGTTGCATATACAAACAAGCAGACAAAGGCTCATATTTTTTTTTAATCTTTAAAATTAAATAAAAGAGTATCACCTGGCCCAGGAGGCTTAATCCTATTTTATTCTTTAAAATCAAGGGCCAAGTGAATTCCAGGAACTGAGTGTGGGCTACAGGGGAGGCAGCTGGTTCACCAACCGGTCCCTCCCCACCTCAGCCTGGGGCAGAGCCACTTCCTGCCAGGGAGGAAAAGGATGAATGGGATGGTCACTGAGTGGAGAGTTGCATCAAGTTTCCAGTCCACCTCTCTGGTCTTCCTTTTACTTTTAACTCTTCCTAGTTCCTTATTTTCTTCCTCTGACCCTCTTGTTTCCCTCAGACTTACTAGATTTCTATTTTTAAAGCACAGCGAAACTGCCTTAACTTCCCATCATCTCTATTCATTTTTCAGAAATAGTCATTAACAAATCTCATGTTGTGAAATTGGCTGATGTAGGCAAACATTTTCCCTCGATGTTCCTTAGAAGTGTATAGGTCTCTGAGAAATGTGGTCCTCAATATGCTTGTAAGAGTCTAGTCTCAAATTTCTCTGTCACTGTGGGCTTTCCCCAGACATGTTACTTTTGTCTGTGTGTTTAATCATCTTTATTTAGTGTTAACAGGTGATGTGTGAAGGGTACCCAACATTAAACGCTCTCATGGAAACTTCCTAGGTGAATGCTAGGCTAACGTGGAAGAGGGTTAGCAAGTATCTAGAAGTCTCTATTGGTTGTTAAAGATAAAGAAAACTAGTCTCCAAACACTTCTTCCCTCAGTACTGACAATTTACTTCAATTCTGTGTGTGTGTGTGTGTGTGTGTGTGTGTGTGTGTGTGTGTGTGTGTGTATGGTTTTTAGAGACAGGGATTCTCTGTAGCTGTGGAGCCTGTCCTGGAACTTGCTCAGTAGACCAGGCTGGCCTCAAACTCACAGAAATCTGCCTGCCTCTGCCTCCCAAGTGCTGGAGTTAAAGGTGTGCACAACCACCACCTAGCCAGGCAAATTACCTCAACTCTATTAAACATTTACAAGAAATTGTCTCCTTCTTTGACCACCTTTCCATACAAATACATAGGAAAGGGTCATGATAGACATTCAGTTACTTCTTCTTGCTCATTAGTTATACAAGTTTAAATACTACCCTCACTTTATTCTTAAGGTTTTTTAAACTGATGTATAAAATCCTATAAACTAGACATATTATGGGGAGCTGTGTGAAACTTCCTTATGCATATAAATTGCAGAATGCTTAAATCAGATTAAGCATAGCTGGAACATTTATCTTTTTCTTTTTTGTATGGTGGCAACAACATTGAGTATCCTTTCGTAAATCCTTTTGAGTTGTAGAACATATAATTGTTATTTATAGCTATCCTGCTGTGTAATAGCCTACTAGGGCATCTTACTAATGCTTTACAAGAATGAATTACAGGGGAAACAAAAACCACAGTGTTACTCAGTTGAAACAAAGTTCATTTGCATAAAGCATCTTGCCACATATTTTCAAGTCAGAAATTTCTAGCTGCCTTGTATTTCTGAAGTTTTAAATTATTTGTCAGACTTTAGGAAATGTTGAAATTTGAATGGTCTGAATCTTTCTTTGTATTAACTTGGGTATATTAAGTGGCTGGCCATGGAAAAACCAAATGAATAATGTTGGGATACCAAAAGAAACTACTGCTTGAGCTATGGCCATTTACAGAAATGTCCTTGAATAAGAGTCTCAAATGTAAGTACTAATAATTATTCTGCACATATATAGTTATTATATATAAAAGAATTCTAAAATGTTAGGCACATTTACAATCAAAGATCATGGATAAATACTACCATGCAAATATGTAACTCAAAAGAAGCATAACAGAACATCCCGAATCATGATAAGTTAATCAAAGCAATATATATATATATATATTTACATAAAGACACCTGTAAATTTTTAGTAATGGCAAAGGGCTTCATTTGGGTATAAATCTAGCTTTTCCCTCCTAATATAGTGTAATGAAGTTGTTCTGTTATTTTTAGTGTGTCAAAGTGTCATTGGTGACTCTGAATACGTCTTACCCAGTCACCAAGCACCAAGCCTCAGGCAGGTACTCCATCAGTACCCTCTGACCAAAGAACAAAAGCTGCTCATAGATGTATACAATTTCAGCAGATAATTTCAAGCAACACCATATTAAAAAAAGAACCATCATGGAGAAAGTCAAACTATCCATGTTTGATCTATCTCATGTATTATTATCATTAGTTATTATTTATTTATTTTGGTTTTTTGAGACAGGTTTTCTCTATGACTTTGGAGGCTGTCCTGGAACTAGCTCTTGTAGACCAGGCTGGTCTCGAACTCACAGAGATCCACCTGCCTCTGCCTCCCAAGTGCTGGGATTAAAGGCGTGTGCCACCACTGCCCAGCTATATCTCATGTATTATTAAATTAAATTAAAAAATAATAAAGTGACTTTAACAGAATAATCCAAATAGTCAACAAACATTTAAGGCGACACTTCTGAGTCTTGAAGCGTTTTTTTTTAAAAGGTGTAAGACATCTTTCCTTGGTGAGCATCCTCCACAGAAGGGGAGAAAGACCCCACACACCACAGAGACTAAAAAAGGGAGGCAGTATATACTGTGTTCACCTGAGTCTCCCCCCTCCGCTCTGCTCCAGTCATATGTCATTAGTGTCATTCAACCACAAACTCATAATATGGTGTCCCGTCCCTCATATCTGAATTTTTCTAACATGGTTACTGTTAAAATTTATTAAGACTAGAGTTGACATTTTAGATTTGTTGTTATTGAAACAACAATTTAAATACCTATAAAAGGCTATGTCATTTTATAAAAAATGGAACTCTAAATTTTTATCCTAAATAACACGTTTTTACTGTTTCATTTAGTTGCATGTTAGTACAAACATCAATTCTTGAAACAGGTGGACCCACTAAGTGGGGATTGATGCCTAACTCAAACTAGCAAATATTACAAAATCTCAGTAGGTGTCTTGTGTTCTCAATGGAACGTCCATAAGTCCTGAATATTTTGCAACTTCCATGTCTATTCTTAGAAAACGACTCTCAGATGAAAAATCAGACTTCTGTGGAAATAGCTGCTCTGCATGAATCCCATAAATTCCCAGTAACTTTCCACTGTTGTCACACTGGGTCCTAAACAAGGGATTAAGACACAGATGAAGAATCAGGATTGTGGGGACAGTCCAGAAAACCAAAGAGCCATCATAGAATTATCCCTTGCTTGCTTTTTATCAAGCCAGTTTGGAAGCTTGCTTGGTTTGGTTTAACAGCTATTGTCCCCAACCTTCTTAGGACAGGGTTAAAAGCAATAAGGAGAATAAATAGGCATAATGGTAACCCATGGGTAGTCTCAATGGAATCTTCCTGTTGTACTTGCCCATTCTGTTCCTATGCCTCCAGTTAGCTCCCATGGACTAGCACAGGTATCATGTCTCTAGACTAAACAAACAGGGAACAAAAACAAACAGGGCTCAGTCACAGACAGGATGCAAGGAAATTGTCGTGTAGCTCACAGAGGGTAGAGATGAATTCATTGTGTGGCAGCGACTGAGTATCTGCTGCGTGGTTGCAGTTAGCTGATCCAGAGCCTAAAATAGACAAACCTGGTCTCGTGGACTTCTGCTGCGATGATGATGGTATATGAACAATCACAGAGGGAGAAATGAGCTGGAATGAGGCAGCCCAGAGGTTTCACAGAGAAGGTCACCTAAGAGCTGAGCCTTGGGGCTTGATGAAAAACCGACTTCTTACGAGACAGACAATAGGTGGAAGCAGAATTAAGACAGATGAAAAAGCATGAGCCACGCCCAAGATAGGAAACAGTAGCCATGTGTTGGGAAGACCTTGGATTCCAGCCAACGAAGAGAAAAGAAAGAATGGGAAGACCAGAGTGGCCGAGTGGAAAGCTCTTAGCAGCGCTACTCAACTGGGAAAGGCGCGTGCGAGCTCTAACCAAGGCACGTAAGAACTCCCGGGTCCCAAGGAAGCCTTGGTTCTGTCCCATGTTCCTGTATACTTGAGCAAAAAGTGACCCTGTGAGCCCAGCGCAACATGTCAATGAGAAACAGTAACTGTGGTCAACCTACTTGAATGCAGGGGAGGCCTCTGCCCAAATTCAATGCATGTCCAGTGAGTGACTCCCAAATGTGGCCACTAGAGAATCCAGTTAACCTTTGAAAATCACTCAAGAAGTTGACTGTCCCTACCTTTCCTTGGAATGATTGTGATAACAGGGGTGCCAGAGCCACTTGATTGTAGGCCGAGGGATTCCGTACACAGTGCAAGTGAGGGCTTGTCTGCTGCCCAGTGGGTAGAGAGCCGGGCTCGCAAAGGATGACACGGACTTTTCATAGATCTGAGGTTTCGCTGGAGAGGAGAAGAAGCAGAGAGAAGTCAGGGGCAGAGGCAAGGATTTCCTCCAGGGCCTCACACGAGAGACCGGTCACGTTGGTTTTGATGTCAGGGAAACACCACTACAAACAAATGCTCATATTATGTAGGAAAATGCCTATTTGATTCCACAGTATGAATACCGTGATGGTGGTAAGTAATGCCACCTTACCTGAAGGAGGTAAGAAAACAGGAAGTAATAGCTGGGCATGGTGGCACACACTTTTAATCCCAGCACACAGGAGGTGAGCCAGCCTGGTCCACAGAGCAAGTTCCCAGACAGCCAGGGCTCCATAGAGAGAACCCACCTCAAGAAAACAACCAACCAGCCAAGCAAACAAACAGAAAATATGAAGCAGTTATGATGTGGGCAGAAGTGTGGCATTTTTCCTTTGTTTCTCTCTGGCGCTGGGGCTGGAACCCAGAGCTTTGTACTTAATAGGTAAGGACTCTGCTGTTGAGCTTTATCCCAACCATTAGAAATGGGACATAAAAATGTATGTGGGACTCAGCAGTGAAGAGCACTCACTGCTCTTGCGGAGGAACCAGGTTCGATTCCCAGCAAGCGCATGGTGGCTCACAACCATCAGCAAGTGCAGTTCTAGGGGATTTGATACCCTTTTCTGACCTTCTCAAATACCAGATATACATGTGGTACACATACTTGCACACACCAAAGCAGGAAAAACACTCGTATAACAAAAGAAAAAAACCCTCAAAACCAAATATTCTTAAAGTTTGTTTTCTTGGACAGTTTATACTGACTTTTGAACTCACAAGTTGTCAATAATAGCTGTAGAACCCAAAGATCCCACAAAATTGAACTTACCATTTACAATCAGAGTGGCAGTGAGGTTTTTGAATAGGTTTGACTGCTTTATGCCCAGCAAGATTGTATAATCCCCTGCATCCTCCGTAGCTACATCTTTGATAACTAGTGAATAGCCGTGCACCGAATAGCGAGCAGACTTCTCTGTTGCAGGCGAGCCATCTTTTAACCTGTGGTTAACAGCATGGTGGGTAAGTCACTTCATTCACTTCATGGAGTCACTTTGATGGCATGTGATTGCCAATTCAGTTTGTAACCTCAAGGGGATTAATTGTGAATCTTTGGACATCAGCACTGTTTTGTTTTGTTTTCTTCAGTAAACTTTAGGTACTTAACTGTTTGGTAAAATCAGGTGAGGGATTTAGACTGGGTAGCATTTCATCTTTATCCACAAGGAGGAAGGAACAAAAGATGAAGAAAAGAAAGAGGTGGCTTTATATACCCACAAATTACCTACACACCAAGTCAGAGGTTCTGGTCTGGGTCTGTCAAGCATTTTCTTTAAGGCTCCATGAGAAGTCCCAGAACAACTCTTACATATTAGATCAACTAGACCTGATAAAGAGTAAAAATAGACGCTCCTATTGTGGGCTCATGTGGAGTTCTTATTAATTACATAAATGGTCACACCAATTGTCCCTTTCATAGAGAAACTGTAGCAAAATCAAAATAATCCCCCTCGAGGAAGAACAATGGAAGGCACCAGGCAACAGGAATTTAAAAGTGTTTTTAATGTAGAATCAATGCCTTGATGTCATCTGTTTGTACTGAGAGTCAGGTGACCTAGCTCTGCCCTATCTGCATGCTGCCACCTGTGTAACAGATAGACCAACTTGAACTACAGTGTCCCTCAAGACTTCTAGAAGTTCTCAAGACCCCTTTGAACTCCCCTAGTCTATGACTTACTTTTATATTTTGCTATTTTTTAAAGATTTACTTTTATTTGATGTTTAAGTGTTTGCTTGTACGCATGTACGTATGTGCACCGTGTGTGTGTGTGTGTGTGTGTGTGTGTGTGTGTGTGTTACCCACAGAGGTCAGAAGAGGGCGCTGGACCCCCTGAATGTGAGTTACAGATGGTTGTGAGCTTCCATGTGGGTGCTGGAAATGGATCCAGGTCCTCTACAAGAGCAGCCAGTGCTCTTAACTGCTGAGCCATCTCTCCAGCCCATGATTTTAAATGCACAGTCTTTCAATATGCCCTTTCATTTGTAGGCCGTGTACTGTGTTGTAGAAAGCTGAAATGGCTCTTAGGCCAGCACACCTGGGGACAGACTCTCCAGGTCTCAGCTCCAACACACTTAATATGGCTATGCTGGATTTTGTGATTTCAAATAGCATTTGAGTATTGTCTCGATTGCATCCTATTTTTCTTTTAAGGTTTTTTACTTCATTTTGCATTCCAACCACAGTTCTCCCTTCCACCCTTCCACCTTTCACTTTTCACTTCCCTGCACCAGCCCACCACCTATCCGCTCCTCTCATGGTGGGGGCTCCCATGGTGGGGGGTCGACAAGGCCCGGCCCATTGAGTTGAGCCATGACCAAGCTTCTGTCCCCTGCATTAAGGCAGAACATGGCATCCCACCATAGGCAATAGGCTCCAACAAGCTAGAAAAATACAGAACTGTTCACAAATTGTGGGTCACCCCTGCACAGGGGTGTGCTAATCTTCTCTGTATTGTTCCAGTTCTAGTATGTGTGCTGCCAAAGCGAGTGCCGGTTGCATCCTATGAACAAGGCATCATTTCAAAAGTAGACATTTTGTTTCATTTGTTCCTTGCTATTTAGTGACTGAATAAACCAGCATGAATAGGCAAAGGGTATGTTTAGACATGAAAGCGTGAGTCTTTAGATTACTACGAACTGTTCTTTAAATTTAGTAATTTTTCTTTTCTTAAACCATACTTTGTATGTCTAGCAAGAAAATTATAATGTTCTATTAACTTTTTAGATAATGTAAAATAATATTTCCCACCATAATGCTGCGAAGGTGTAGTATACAGTTTCGACTTGTTACTTAGCTTCCTAATAAATATTTGAGTTAGCTACAAACAAACCCTGAAGGGCTGAGGGCCAGACAAGCTCTGGTGAGGATTTTCCAAATGGCAGGGCTTCTGTATTGTACGGATTGTTTTTCTAATCAACGGTGAGTGGACCTTTTGTTTAAAATGTAGTGGTCAGCCAAAGATAATGACATTAAAAAGTAATTTAGCAAAATGACTGCAAATTCTAAACAGATTGCATTGTTTTACATAGGTGCCGTACTGGTCTGACTTTTTAAAGAAAAAAAAAGGGCCAGGTATTTCTGAATACTTCAAGCCAAAGAAAACCTTCATTAATTCAAGTCGGTCCACTTGTCTCCACCTACCAATGAGTAAGTCCTGCCACTATCAATGTTTGTTGAAATTTTAAAACAAGGCTGAGACTTTCAACCCAGTTGCACATAAAGGAATTATTTTTGCCATCCTCATTACAAGGGCCCATTTCTTCAGGGTTAATAGAGCATGTTACACATTCAAGATGCCTCTGCGTTATTGCCCAACACATCTCATTCAGAGAATGTTGACATCATAGGAAGGTTTGGAGATGCGGGGATTTAGTATGTGTGAGGGACTGCCGAGCTGAATGGAGCATTCAAACCCCTCACCTCTTGCTTCACCTCTGGGAACCGCTTCCAGGCGCATTCTGCCCTCCCCAGTGCCACCACCCGGAAATCAACAGTGTCCAGCTCCCCAGAGTTGCTCCAAACAATTTCTCTTGGTGTCTCTTTCAGGACTGTGAGCCACTGACGTTCCAAAGTTCCTACTTATAAAAAGTATCTCAACTGACAATGAAATGATTGCAGTCCTACCATACGACTTCTGGCGAGGGGAAGGCCTTCACTTTCATGGACAGCCGATAGGACCGCTTTCCCGCTACGGTCTCCTGCACCTGCTGCTTCCGATGCTTCACACTGATGAATCCCTTTCCTTTGAGAGAAGAAATGAAGGAATCAGGAAAGGATGCATTTATGTAAGCATAAGCTCACTCCTTCCTTTAATGGAGATGCGGTCAATGAACGAATCATGGCGGAGCCTGTTAAAGAGCCCAAGTGTCAATCAATGATGCCTTCAGGTCAACTGCCGGCATGTCCTAGAGATGTTAAGCAGTGTACAGGCAACCGGAGCGTCACTATAAGCTGGTCACAATAACAAGGGACGGTGTCTCTAAAATCTACCCAGTTGATACAGCAAAGATGCAGAAAGTTGCTCTGGGCTGAAAAGTCAAGCTGAGAAAACTGTAAGGATAGAAAGTGCCTCTGACAGGGGCTCTTCTCAGAACACCGGTTCCCTTTGCAACAACAGACACAAAGCCTTTCACTTGTCCTTACAGAATTTACATCTAATAATTAAGCAATCATTTGCACATTCCATGATCATTAAACCGGAAGTAGAAGATCATGAATTCCATGTGATTTATTATATTTTTCTACATCTACTTCATGGCTGTATCAGGGAGATTGCCCCCAGACAAGGTAAGACTGATCAATGGGTTCTGCTTTGTTTATATGGGACAGTAAATGAGGAAGTCATGACTGCCCTACAGTTTACGTTATTAACTGGAGCAAGCGTATAAAACCAAAACTGCCCAAATCAAAAGTAGCATTTTTAAAAGTTAGCATTAATCTTTGAGAATTTTATATAGTATATATTGATCATATTCACCTCCCCTTCTCCTTGTGTTATAAGTCTTTGCAGATCTAACCCATCTTCACCCCACTGCCCAACTTCATATCCTCTCTTTTATTTAATTACCCATCAATTCTAGCTTGTGTTGGCATATACTTCTGGGTGTGGGGGCCATCCGGTGGGGGCACAATTGACCTACAGTTGGCCACACCATTAAGGAAAACTGACTCTCCCTCCCCCAGAAGCCATCAGCTGTCAATAGCTCCTCAGTTAGGGGTGTGAGCTTGTGAGTCCCTTCACTATTCATGTGGGAATGTTAACTGGCTTGGTCTTGTACAGACTCTGTGCCAGCAACCACAGCTGCTGAGGGTTCATGAGTGCTGAGGTCTTGTCACATCCAGAACACATTGTTTTGCTCTGGTCCCCCCACAACCTCAGGCTCTTATCTTTCCACACCCTCTTCCCAAAAGTATTCAACTTAAAGACTATGAAATGGTTTAATTTGCCTTTAGAGGCTCAAAAGAAAGCAGCCTTTGTTCATGGTTGTATAACTCTTAGCCAAAAGAATATTGACTTATTTTTGCAAACTCTTTTTTTAATAATTTATTTATTTTTATTTTATGTACACTGGAGTTTTGCCTGCATGAATGTCTGTATGAGGGCATTGGGTCCCTTGGAACAGGAGTTAGACACAATTGTGAGCTGCCATGTGGATGCTGGAAATCGAACCGGGATCATCTGGAAGAACAGGCAGTGCTCTTAACCGCTGATCCATCTTTCCAGGCGCCCTCTTGCCAACTCTTAATGCCTAGAGTGAGTGCTCAGCAGGTGCAGTGTAAATCTGCTCTCTGAGCTTCTGCTGCTTACCGTACACATGAACGGAGGCGTTGAAAGACCTGAATGATGATCCACTTTTCACACGACAAGTGTAGAGTCCCTTGTCGTGGCTCTGCACGTCATTGATCCTCAGAACGCTGTGGAACACATTGTTGTGGGGATTGCTTTGGTCAATCCGTTGCCTTATAGAAGCTCTCTTAGTTGCCTAGAAAGGGAAGGCACAATGAGTGTAGGAGTCACCATTGTTTCCTGCTTAAAATTCCAGTGTGTTAGTTTTCCCCAAATCAGGATTTAGGTAAGGAGGCACGTCAGATCCACCACAGGCCAAACATTAGGAAACTATGCCTCTGTGCAGACGTGCATCAAATACGAAGTATGCTAGCCTTTATTTAGCACTCCATCTCTTTAAATGGACTTTCACACACATATTGTGTCAGTTGCTTTCTGAAAGCACTTGGTGAGGTGGGAGGGGCTTTTCATTGTTACCAATGAGTAAAGGGAAGCCACAGAGCTTTGGCTGCGAATACCAGGGCTCTTGGGTGTGCACTTAGTGACTTCTCGCCACCACAGGCTCTCCTCTAAACAGTAGCCTGACCCTTCAGACTCAATGGTGGCATTCCTGTAAATAAACACAAGTTCCCCTTCCTACTGATGGGAACGAAAATTCAAGTCCTGCTTCAGCTACTCCCATTTCGTGAGATCACATGTTGAGTCATGCTCATCAGGTTCTGCTAAAGGCTGGCAAAGGGGCCTGGGATGTGCACACCTCAAGGTCATTTCAGCCATCATCTGCAGGGTTTGTCCCTTATCTCAAGGAAAGACCTCAATCTGCTGTCTGGTTGGCTACAGGGGCCTGCTCACTGTTCGGAGAAGATGCGAGCTGCGGTCTTCAATTGTTCCTCTTATAACACATAACACGTCATTTCCCCCTCTTAAGTCCTTCCCTGGGGAGGGTCGCGGGAAAAAGATCTGGCAGCTGTCCAGACAGAGCTGAGGGTCTTGGACCTAGTTCCCTCTACCATGCTTAGTCAACTTTCACACACCTACCTTTTAATGCCCCATTGGCACAGACATATGTTTAGGCCATTTGCATGGTTCTCAGTGATAACAAAAGATGCAACTGTCAATCATTGCTGTGAAAAGTCAGATGAAGTCCCCAGTGTAATAGACCTAGGAACCTTTCCACCACTCGGTCTAGAGGCATGACTTCCCCTCTGAAGAGTGATCTTCCCAAGTGTGTTGTTGGTATAGTTTGGTCCTTGGGAAACAACTCATCCAGGCCTCCCGAAGTGCCTTGTCCAGTTCTGTAGCCACTAGCTGTGTATGGCTATTTAATACAATTAATCAGGATGAAGAATTCCTCACTGTCTTAGAAGGTTATTGGTACTCAGTAGATATAGTACTAATACTGTCTTTAAAGCTTTGTTATTAATTGATTTTTTTTTCTGTGTATGGTATGGGTATTTTGTCTGCATGTATGTCTACACACCACATGTGCGCCTGGAGCTTGAGGAAGCCAGAAGAGGGCTTTGGATTCCCTGGGACTGGAGTTACTGACGGTTGTGTTTCACTATGTGGGTGCTGGGAATTGAACCTGGGTCCTCTGCAAGTGCAGCCGGAGCTCTTAACTTCTGAGCCATCTCTCCAGCCTCCAGTATCAACATTCTTAATAGCAATAGGAACCAGATAAAAGTCTCTTCCCTCTTGGCATTTACTGAGAATTTTTATTTCTATCAGAAGATACTGCTTCATGTTATAGCATTCTTATTTAAATGAAACAACAGTATTTTCTAGAACATTGTCAATATCTGATCAGTTCCTATAGGGAACAGATTACATCTTCTACATCTTCTGTTACTAAGTTCTATTTCCACAGGCAGGCGGGGGGGGGGGTGAAAACAAGTTGGAGTTGAAGCATTAATCTTTTGTTCATTATTTAACCATAAATTAGTTTTGATTGGCAGTCTGAATGACATAACAATCGCCCGTCCTTGGGATAGGCTACATAATCACACTGGCCCATGAGAAATGAGAGCAGGCCTCCTGCCAGCATTTCTTCCCAGCTTATCATCGTCTTCCCATCTGAGTATTTCAATAAGTAACTGCTGCTTGCAAGGGTGTTTCACCTGAATAGGAACACGGGCTCTGTCTTCATTCTTCTCATGTTTGTTTTTGAAGGACAGAATGGTCCCCATGAGAGTGAATGAGTGCAGTATTGGATGGCTGGCTTGAAGTATCTTTACCAAACACACCGTAATCAGGTGCCTGACTGTCTGCCAGAACCTTCCATGAATGCACTGACAAGGACAATCTCCTGAAAAGTTGTTATGACAAAAGATAGTCCCTGCCTGGCTTTTAGTGATAAATTCCCCTCTCGTCTTGAAATCCTTTTTTTTTTTTTCCCGTCTTGAAATCCTAATGCATCGTTTCCAAGGATAAAACGGTCCCTCTTGCCTTCCAGACTCACCAGTGGAAACAGCAGCCCTTAGCCTTCAAAACAAGCTCCAGACATCAAAGCCAGGATCTGCACTATCACATCCAGGGACCGCCCGGTGAGGGAGGCACCCGTTCAAACCTGCCCCTTTCCTGTCCACCCACACCACCCTGGGAGCAGGATTTTCTCATTTTTCCCACTTCAAAAACCCAGTGGGGTTTCACTCACTCAAAGCAGATACAAACAGTGCCCTGCGGAAGAACTAGAAAAGCGGCCACTCACTTTACCAGGGTAACTCCAGCTCATCTGCACTCTCGTGTTCAGGTCGGTGGTAGTGGTGCAGTTGAGGACAAGAGTTTGACCATGGAGCAGTCTCACTGGGCTTGGAGGACTTATGCGGACATCCAGGATGGTATTGGCTGCAAGCATAAGAGTCAAACGAATAAACAAACACATAAATAAATAAAATATTAAAGGTCAAGGTTTCACAGGGCAGCTGGAGCTCAAAGGACTGTGCTTGGTGTCCACACCCATAGGGACAGTCACTTACTTTGCCGATGGGTCAAATAGTTTGTCTGGTATAGGTGCCCATTGACTGTGGCTTCGCAGTTCAGAAGTCCTATTTCTCTGTATGTCGCATTTGTTATTATGAAGCCTTTCCGACTGTCCCACATTATTCTTTCTCCATCAGGGGTCAGAGTATCAGATGGAAACTACAAACAAAGAAGCATGATAAACAAAAGCCCTGGCAGTCATGTATCAGAATAGCAGGAGAAAACACGGTTTTCACTTACAGTGAGAACTACCGCACTGAGCCATTCAAAGAGGTGCAGGGACACTGACTGGGAAGTCGTAAGATCAACACCAGGGCCCAGTGTGCCCTGGAGTCCCCTGCACGCTAACCTAGGTCTTTTCTTGAGCAGCTGAAACTGTCTACTGATTCCAGCCCTGACACCAACAGGACACAGATGGGATGGGGACTCAAACCTGTCCCTGAGGGACACTTCAGGAATCTGTCAATCACAGTCAAAATTTTTCTGGCTTCCCGATTACAGCCACTGCACAAAGCTTACCTGATACCCACTTGTGTGTGGATTGGTGTGGTGCTGCCTTGAGTGAAATAGGGAGCTGGTTGGTCCTTACCCTCTAAACTTCTCTGTGGGAAAGCTTTGTACCAGTGGCCTTCTGGCTCACTGGATGTCTGACATTTTCCTTCTGTCTTCACAGGGCTTGATTGAAAACATGGAGGAGTCTCCTGGATGGATTTCTATCCCTCCGTTTTTCTAAGATGTTAAGTTTGGGTACCACCCGGGACTTAGGCATTTGTCACTAGGACATGACAAATTCAGACCTAAGGGTAGCTCCTTATGTGTGGATCCCAAACAGGTGATCCAGTGGCCCCCCTGATGGCCCCAGCTCCAGCAATGGTACCCTAGTCAGACACCAGCTTATCCATGTGAGCAGTAAAATTAACACTTACTTTTTGATGTGTGACAATATATCAAAACTGTGATGAATTTGGTTCTTTCATTACTTAGATATATGCTTAGGACATTATCATTTGACTCTACTTAAATACACAAGGTGTGTAACTCCCACTAGTGGTTTTTTTTTTGGTAGGAAACGAATGTTACAGATAAATCCACTGCGAAGCCCAGATGTCTGTAAGAAAATTATTCCAGAGACTCAAAATGTCATAACATCCATTTGAAGCAAAAACATGATGGAAGTAACAAGTTTTACCTTTTTTAGAGTGACTGTGATGTTGGGTGACGTCACCCGGCAGGGGATGATGAGTTCTCTTCCTTCCGTCATGTACACAACTTTAGGTATGTCACTGTACATCTCTATGAAAGGGCTCGCTGCATCTGAGTGGGGAAAACCACAGAGAGGCAACTGGAGATGTAAGTATGTAAGGCATTGGAGGCTGGGACTGTCCCTGGGACTCTGCTGCAGCTTCCTCATTGGACAGATTGTGTTTGTCTCTGAACCGCCTTCCACATGTCTGTCTCCCAAAGAAACCCAGTTTCTTCTTCAGTTCTTGGCCTTCAGTGGGATTACCCTAACACCCTACTATGCAATGGAGTTATGGAGACCACCAAATGCCAAAGCTTTAGAAGTGCAATGAGGGACAAAGGGGGAGATTCTGCATAAACTTCAGCTATGTTAAGTGCCCCAGGAAGTTCCCTCCAGGGTCTTTGTGACCACTGGAAAAACACAGGTGCTCCTACATGGGAGAGTCAGGGGCAAGACAGAAGTAAGCAAACCAGAGGGGATTATCATTTGAATGGCAGAGGCACCACTTGAAGGCTTTCTAGACCTTGCCTGGTAGACAAGAATGAATGGGAAAGGATCTGGGAAATGCATGCATTTCATTGGTGATTAGGTCCATTCTTCCACGTGCAAGGTTTACCTGCTAAGAGAAAAGCTCACTGAGAGGTCTGGAGGGGCCTTCGAATAATCACCAAAACACCTCTTTTCAAAGTGTGGCAGTGTCTCTGAGAGGATTCTAACTGCCTGTTCGACTTCCCTGTAATTCCTCCAAGGAATCAGAAGGAACATCAGACATTTCTAGAAACACTGTCCACCTTGCTCTTGTCTTAAAACAATCCCTTTCAGGAGTGATTAGCGCCAGCCTTCAGAGGGGCCAGGAGTCCTGTATGAAAGAACCAAGGAGGTCCCAGACCTGCTGGTTGGTCCTCTTTCAAAACTGGATGCTGACAGAGGATGGATATTACAGAAACAAGAACTGTTGGCAGGCAACAGTTATCAGACATCCCCAATGACTGTCGTGGGTGAAACTAGTAGGGTCTTAAGCCCTTTGCACTTCTGAATGGGGCCTATATGGAAAGAGAGGTGAATGAATGTAATTTTAAGCTAAGGGCCCTTAGCTTATAATAGGTACCTTTTTAAAAAAATTATATGTTAATTGGTGTGAAAATGTCAGGTCCTCTGGAACTAGAGTTACAGACAGTTGTGAGCTGCCATCCAGGTCCTCCGGAAGAGCAGCCAATACTCCCAACTATTGAGCCACCTCTTCAGCCCTAAATAATCCTAATCTTAAAACAGCCCTGTAAGAACAAAGGCAGAGGCTGATGTGACATCTGCTAGTCAAGAATGCTGGGAAACCAGGACAAGGAAGTGGCAGGCTAGGATCTAACAGGTATGGCGGCGGGCTGGCCATCGAAGCACCTTCACTTCAGTCTTGCAGTCGCAGAGAAGACAGAAAACAAAAAAGCTGGACCCAGGCTTTGTGGTCTGCACCTATAATCCCAGCAAGTCAGTCAAGGAAGCAGAACAAATGGCCAGCCTCAACTACTCTGCTAAGTATTCTGTCTTAAAAAAAAAAAAAGAAGGAATTAGGAGCAGAGGTATGGGAAGTGTGTGTGTGTGGGGGGAGTTAGTTATCCTTGGGTGCTAGTTTTGAGTTATTGTCTCCTCTCTTCTTTCCCTTTTTTTTTTTTTTTTTTTTTTTTTTTTGACATGAGATCTATGTAGCTTTGGCTGGCCTGAAACTTACTTTGTAGACCAGGCTGACCTTGAACTCATATAGACCCTCCTGCCTCTGCCTCTAACACTTAGCTCAGTTATTTTCTCTGTTGGTTTTTCTAGAATGATCTCATGTCATTTAATAATAACTGTTAAAGTTAGCACTCAGATTAGAAACCACTATCCATTTGCACTTAAGGAAAACAATACGTTTGTCACTGATTGGCTTTCATTTTGCCTGTCACAGTTAATAGAGCTGTTTGTTGATTAGGAATTCTCAGTGGGGGCAGAACACCACGGACAAAGACAGAAAATGAATGACTGGAGACTAGGGGTCTTGTCAGAACCAAATCCTCCAATAGAGGTTGCAGAGGCAGACACCCAGCAGAGCCAGGGAACTACTGCATCATGCTCTCTTCCTCCTGCAGGTCTCCCTCTCTCTCTGTGTATATATATATGTATATATGTGTGTATAGACATTGTGTGTCCCAAAGGTATACAGAAACACCAGGAAACGGCTTAATTCATTTAACTGAACTGTAAATCCTCCATATTGGTTTACTGTCTTCAAACAGCCCTTTCCAACAAAGCACACTAACATGAAAAGTTTCTAGAGGAGATAGTAAACATGGGTGTCATCAGCTCTTGGCTAATGAATAGGCAATTTCAAATGGAATTGTCTTTACCTCTGAGTTCCTTTGTCCCTTTGCTTAGGTGGATTCCCCTAAACACTTAAATTACAGACAGTTATCTCCCAAAGGCCCCCTTCAATGTCAGTAGTGGGCCCACCGCAAATCAAAGTTGCTAGAATACTATGTCTGTCCAAACACAACTAAAAATGTATTGCTTATCAATAGTGGCATTATAAATCCATGTCTAGAAATGACCCCATGACTCCATGCCTGTACACACACACACACACACACACACACACACACACACACACCATGCACATACACCCATCACTCTATTCTTTTTTTGTTGGTTTTTGTTTTTCGAGACAGGGTTTCTCTGTGGCTTTGAAGGTTGTCCTGGAACTAGCTCTTATAGACCAGGCTGGCCTGGAACTCACAGAGATCCGCCTGCCTCTGCCTCCCGAGTGCTGGGATTAAAGGCGTGCGCCACCAACGCCCGGCTCACTCGACTCTTTGGACTTATTAAGAGTACATTTCCTTTGCAACTTGCTTCAAGGAAGGGCTGAGAATGAACTTGCCTGACATAATACACACATTTTTTTGTTTTGTAGGACCATTGATATGGGAGAGGTCACGGTTCCACTAATATCACCGGTAAGACCACTTACTGCTCCCATAGGATGCATTTGTCTTTGTCACAACATTAAAAATGACTTCTGCACCCAGTCAGTGGGTTCCTGCAATCAAAGTGGCTGTGTATTGAGAGAGTGAGGAAGAGGCCAGCGCTCAGGCCACTCACACGGTCACTGGGGACTCAAGACAATTCTTCACAAACTTTCCCCCCAAAAAATAGAACAAAGAAAACTTTCTAACTCATCCTATGAGGTCAATAGTATGATGAAGCCCAGACTGAAGACTTTACAACAAAACTATCAATGAGTATGGATGTATGACCAAAACAAATCTCAACAAAATAGTTACATGTAAAAACCAGCTTGTAAGGATAAATAGAAAGAAAAAGACTGACAAAGTGCATTTTACCAAAATTGAGAACTTTTGGTCTTCAAAGAAGACTATCCAGAGAGTGAAAATATAAAGCCCTCCTGAAGATATGGGTGAAAATATTTGTATCTGCTAAGGCGCTTGTATATAGAATGTAAAAGATACACTTATCGTTAGTCCTGAATACATTTTAAGCAGTATATAGCACACATTTATAATACATATGAATCTAGATAAGAATATATGAGACATTTATAACATTACGTGAAATAATAATAAATGTAAGACCTTTTACACTTCAATAATAAAGACAAATAACTCCATTTAAGAGTGCCAAAGGGTGGGGCCGGAGAGATGGCTTAAAGGTTTAGAGTACTGACTGCTCTTGCAAAAGACCCAAGTGTGGTTCTCAGCACCCACATCAGCCGGCTCACGATCCCATGTAACTCCAGCTCCAAGGAATCTGACACCCTCTTCTGGCCTCTGCTGGGACTCCCATACACTCACACAGTTGCTCACATATACAATAAATTAAAAGGAATAATGGAAAATATTTTTTAAAAATAGTAAAAAGGATTTGAACTGATATTTTTCTCATGATGAGATACAAAGGATTAAATAAACACATGAAAAGTAGTCCAAGGTCATGAGCCATCAGGAAAATACTAATCAAAGCTATGAGTGACCATTTCACACCCACTAAAATGGCTAAATGAAAAGGACATGATAACAAACGTTGACAAGGATAAGGAACAACAGATGGGAATGGAAAATGGTACAGCTACATTAAAAACAAAACAATAAAACAATGGTTCTTTCCCCCAAAGTTTAAACATAGAACTAGCTAGTTGCCTTACCACTCAGACATTCTACCGGTAGGTGCACATTCAAGACAATGGGCCTTCTATCCACACAGAAGCTTGTCTACGGCATTTACTGAAGTGCTACTAAAAGTAGCCATATGCCATGTCTTTAGTCCCAGCACTGGGGAGGCAGAAGCAGTTGGATCACTGTAAGTTCTAGGCCAGCCTGATCTACATAGTTAGCTGTCTGAGAGAGAGAGAGAGAGAGAGAGAGAGAGAGAGAGAGAGAGAGAGAGAGAGAGAGAGAGAGAGAGAGAGAACAACAAAGTCAGGAAGCAGAAACTAAAATATCTATCAGCTAATACGTGGATCACTGAAGTGTGATCTATCTACACCATGCAGCATGATTCAGTTAGCTATAGGAAGAAAAGAGGGTGATGTAATATGGGTGAACCTCAAAAATATACTGTGTAAAAGGAGCCAGACACGGCTGGACTCTTGTGCAATATCCGGAAGAGGCAGAAAGTAGATCAACTTGCTAAGGACAGAAGAGGCATGGATTGTGGGTATGGAGAGGAGACCACAGGGTCCAGCTTTTCTTCGAAGGCGGTGGAATGTGGTATATTCTGTGAACACACTGAAGCCCACTGAACTCTATTGTAAACAGGTGAATCGTACAGTAGACTATATCCCCACATGATTTATCCAGAAAGAACTCCTTGGACCCTGTTTTCTGAGCTGGAACGACTCCTGTTCACCCTCTGGATCCCACAGTCTTTCTCTCCAACCTCAAGTCGCATCCTTTCCAGGCCATTCACAAATGACAGAATTTGCTCCTGTGCCAAAGCCATTGTGGACAAATGTGTCCTCAGTTCCCTCTGGCAGCCCCGAGTCAATGGGAGAACAATGAAAACCTTTTTGCCTTCATTTAGATGGCCA